AAAGGATTTCTATAGAACATATTTCTACCTGTCTATGTTCATATCTGATTTAAAATGTAAGATCGTTAACTGCAAATATAGTTAAGGTAATTTTATAAGTAAATACTGTTTCTTCATCATTAACACAGAATAAACATAAAGGACTTCGAAACAGGAGGTTGACAGGTGTGAAACCTCAAACTGGTTCATGAGTATTTAAATTACACAACAGTGAAAGGCATATTTCTTGTTCAGGATAAAACATTTGTTATTTGCTTTCTTTCAGAATAAAGTACAATAGAATATTATTATATTATATATATTATATAATGATGTACTAAAAACCACTTCATCAACAAAAGTTAACAACTATATAGGTAGGTTCTTTTTTATATTTATTTTTTACTTCATTGTCTAGGACACAACTAAATAAATAGGTACAAAAGTCACATTTCAAAGCACTACATATATGCATCCCACTGAGCTTGCATTATCAGTACCTGTCTGAAAGCTGTCCTGAGAAGAAGGATCCAACAAGAACTCCTAGAAAGTAAAGTGTGGACGTGAATGGCTGCTTCCACTGCTCACTACACACCAGGTCAAACTGGAAAAGCAGTTCATTAAACAGATATATTTAGAAATAATAAAAGCACAAACAAAAGTCACAAAATTTTTTCAAAGAATATTGGAAAAAATCAAATACATTGATGAGAGGGATATCCTTCCTCACTTTCCTACCTCTGAGACTATGGTGGACTGGTAGATATCTCTGCTGTAGCTCCACCCATCCACACAGCCCTCCTGCTCCAGGTCCGTGAGGTTGACGTCTCTGCCAGGAATGAGTCCCTGAGCAGAGAGATTCCTGACCATATCTAGCCTGTATCTGCTACATCTGCTCAGCTCCTGTTTCCCATTCACCACCTCACAGTCACAATGACACACATATTATTGGTACTACTGAGGAATTTAATTTGAATAACAACACAAAAGCATCAGCATGCAAGTGTTGTGAAAATTAGCTGCAGACAAAAGCTCGACATGTGACATGGCCATTAACTTGGATGTTACCATCTATAAATAAACTTATGTGACATAGACATATGCGGTCACACCACTTTTTATGTAGAGCTGACTTATAAGTTGACTAAAACAGCAGACATAAGCAGGAGTTTAAAAAATAACATGAAATGGTACCGTAGAATCTGTCTAAATCAAAAAGTCTAAATTAATGCAGGAATCAAGTCAGGACAGCAATAAATGAAAAAAAGCATTTATTTCCTCACTTTTACTTCAAAACATACTTTATTTTTAGGATCCTACTGAATGCAAATGTCACAATGTGTCCACTGCCCAAAATGCCTGTAAGAATAGTAAAGGAATAATTAAGACATACTGTCAATTCACTATAAATCTACTGGTGGCAAAGAAATGTCAACTTTCTCTATAAGTGAGCAATCTATTTGTCCAAACTTGTAATCAACAGTTTGCTGACAGTTGTACACTGATTTACCTTTATTGGGATGATAACATTCAGCCAGTCTTGGGTCAGGTTCACCTCTGGAATCATGCAGTGGTGACTGGGAATGTCAGCCACAAAGATGATGGATAAAACTCCGGATCCATTGGGGATGGTGCTGGCACAGAGCAGGAAGAAGACAATCTGCTGGAAAAGTCCCCAGTGACCCAGGAAGGCTGTGGTTTCATCATAATTATACATAATCTCAAAATTCTCTTCTTTGTAACACCTCTGTCTTCTATGTCTTCCTGCAAATGTGTCTTATCTACAGTCTGTATATGTGCAGTTGACTATGCCCTTTTGTGCTCGTAAAAATTTATTACAGCTTTAAGCACATCACAACACACATTGTTATCAAATATTTTATTATTATACACACATTAATCTTTGTTCCTGCAGAGAGAGAGATACAGTTTCTTTGAAATACAAAGGAAGGGAGATACAATAATCAAATAAAGGAACATCTAGGAAGGAAGGTTTAGTTACAGCTCTGTGATGTGAGCTAGAAATCGATGGATTGACATTGACTATTGATTAAATATTCAATTTAAAATGTTGATAGTTGGGCATACTGGACAACATGGCTGCACATCTCTCAGTAAATAATAACCATCAACTATTAACGCCAAGCAATAGTATGAATAGTAATTCATATTTGAAAGAAAATCTGGGGCAGCCAG